CGGCCATGCTGAGGCCGCGTCCCACATACAGCAACTAGAAGGATGTGCAGCTATGACATACAACTATCTACTGGGGCTTTGGGGGGAAAATATAATAAAATCTTAAAAAAAAAAAAAAAAAAAGAAGAGGGTTGGTTAAGTGTGTGCATTTTGGGGCTTTTGCTCTTGAAACACTCCCTTTTGGAGCCCTGAGACCCCAAGGCTGGGCACGGGGCAAGTCCACATGGGGAAATGAGAGCCCAGGTGACACCCAGAAAGGAGGCTCCAGATGCATGGTCCGGGCTGGTTGTCTCAGCCAGCCCCCAGCTGGGCCCCAGGCCTCACAGCGCAGAGACCAGCCGTCCCTGCTCTGCCCTGCCCAAATTCCTAACTTAAAGAATTGAGAGTAAATAAAAAGGTTGTTGTTTTAAGTCCTTAAAATTTGGGGGTGGTTTGTTACATAGCAACTGATAACAGACACAACAGGAACGTGCTACTTTATACAAATGTATTTTTGAAAAGTTGACTGGCCGTGTTTAAATATGCTAGAAAAACTGGAAGGGAATCAAGTGGTGAGATTTTATTTATTTTCGGTAAAAGCAAACAAATTTTTAATTCCACAAATATAAATGTATGTTAGACATAGAAATTCCAAACTTCCCGAGGCAGCTTGAAACAAAATTAACTGCTTAAACCAGAAATCCGACAAGACTCACTCTTCTTTGTGGTTAGTTCTTGTACTGGCTTAAAAAATCAACCAGTAATGACTAAGGGCCTAGGAACCATGCTAGGCCCTGGGGATTTCCCCACGATGAACACAAGGACAGGATTCCTGCCCTCGGGTAGCTTACAGTGTAGCTGGAAGAGAGACATTCAACAGGAAATTAGACGTTAAAAACTGCTATGAAGGTAAAGCGCCAGGTGGCAGGCCAGCGTAACTGGGACCTAACACACGACAGGCTAGGGAGGAGTCTCTGAGGAGATGCTGTTTAAGCAGAGGGAGGGCTGAGGAGTGGGAAATGGGTGTGCAAAACGCCCGAGGGGAGAGAGAACCTGGCAGTTCCAAGAGGCGGAGGAGGAGGAACAGAGCAGCTGAAGCAGAGGGGCATGGGGGCGAGGGGGCGAGGGGGCGTGGGGACGAGGGGGACAAATGAGGCCGGAGCAGTGACTCGGATTGCACTTCTCACCTTAATGGCAACGGGCAGCCCTGAGGAGTTCTCAGCCCGGCAATGACAATGACGTGACACGGACTCTCTGGATGGGTCACCGGCTCCTCTGGACAGGGCCGAGGGGCGAGATCTGATGGGGGCCTCTCTGCTGCTTTCTGTTCTTACATAGAGACAGGCTAGCCCTCCTTACCTTCCATTACTGTAAAAACAATCGGGCTTTTTGACAGCTTCAAATCCATCCGGGTTCATTGAAGGCATGATGTGTATGCGGGTGCTGTTGATCAGATGCGTGACTTCAGGGTCTCTTCCATCGCTGGTTACCAGATACTCGATCAAATGGAGCAGCATTTCCCGCCCCACAGTCTGAATGTGTTAACGAGAAAACGGGGTATCATGAGGTCAGAGGAACACGGTCCCCAAAGCACAAATCCCCAACAAGAGACTCTGCACATGATGTGTGAGACCAAACCCAGTTGTGAGACCACTGTTTCTCACGCATGCTGATACTCTGGCAAGTGGCAGTCAACACTGGAGTGCTCAAAATTGTTAGGAAAAATTATTTTTTAAAAATAAATAAGCTCGAAGGGAGTCAAGATGGCGGCGTAGGCAGACTCTGAACTCACCTCCTCCCGTGGACACAGCCAATTTACAACTACTCGTGGAAAAATTACCCCTGAGAC